AAAAATTAAAAAAAAAAAAAAAAAAAAAAAAAAAACAAGTACGCGTTTGATTAGTGACCTCGTTATAAAAGTCAATGATGCAGGAATCTGGTTTCACTGTCATCACTTGCTCCCGAACCAAGCAATCAATGAGATCTTGAAGCAATGAGGGGATGGATTCTATTCTTCTATCTGTAAAATTCACTAAAAATGGAGATTTAAAATACTACATCGAACAGAAACTAACATCAACATATATCTTTATTGCTATATTGCTCAACTAAATTTAAAAAACTGCAATCCAAATCAAAGATAATGGTAAATGCCTTTTGAGAGCCCTGAAGAATTGTCGTCATCATGAGCTGCATCCGCAATCGGAAAGCCTAGCTGGATCATCTCTCTCCCATGACCCTTCATCGGTCTTTTTGAGACAATATATGTCGGACCTGATTTTGTGGCAGAGAAAAATATAATATTATTCAGTTTAAGAAAATTACGAAATATAAAGAAGTTGTCCATCCTTATGTACCATTCACTTGCATAATTGTAGGGTACTAAGATATCAAAGTAGTTCGTTAGATTTTCAACATCCTTATGTACCATTCATTTAAGTGATTGTTCCCATTCTTCAATTCATTATCTCGAGGCTGTATGTAATATAATTGTCATCTGGTTCAAAATTGGATAAACCTTCACAAAATCCATATTAATTGAATTTTATTTTGACAACTTCCTTGAAAAAGATGATAATCAATTTTCTTAAAGTAACATATATATGGCCAAGTTGAGTTAAAAAGAACAAGAACTTGCCTTGGAGTTGCCCTCTCTTTCCAGAAGCCCTCAAATCATTCACCAATGAAAGAAGCTTTGAAACCTCAATATCATCCAATAATTCTTCATACAATTTCAATCCATCCATCACATTAACCTAAATTAGAAGAAGAATAAAATAATATGAAGTGAATCAGTCTACCATCTCAAACTAATTGTGAAGGACTCTTTCCTTCACAGAGTCTCACACAAAGAACCCAAGAACCAAATTCAGGATAAAATTAAACAGTTATACCGTCTTTCCATCAAATATCTCATTGGCAACAAAGGTTCTTGGGGCTGTGGCAGCATACTGCTTTCCATTCCGGCTTTGAACAGACTGCAGCTCCTTATCTGGGGAAAGAGTTGGTTGATAACAGATTATAATGATGCCCTTTCATTAGTAAAAAATATATTTTTGATAATTCCACTACCAGTGGGATAAAGCAGCAAAATTAAAATAAATTATGATTTATGATACAATTGTTTGTAATTTCTAACTAGATCAACTACAAATATGATTTAAGGAGCAAGTTCTCACCTCTTTGACTTGAAGAACACCCATCATCAGTAGGTTCAACTTGAGATTCTTTATTGCTTGCATTGTCTTTTAAATTTTCTGCACACTTGGGTTTGCTATTACTTTGGTCCTTCCCATGAGTATCTACCCAACAAACAAGCTTATCAAAATTAAGATGTACTCCTATTTTCAACAACATAATATATAGCTGAAGTAATTCAAACCTCTAGGAATGAGATCGAAATAACAAGAATCATGTACATTTCAGTGCACCACTACAAAATGTAAGGTAGAACTAAACTTCTAATTTAGCCAAAAAAATAAAGTTCATGCACCATTAAACGTTGATAGTGGAACAAAAGGTTACCTTTTATGTCCTCAGCTGACCCTGAATCTTTATCGTTCAATTTTCCATCCTCCCCCGTTGCAGTACTTTCCTTGCATGTATTACTTACTTGCTCAACCTTCCTAGAGCCTACAAACCTTGAAGAATTCCCACCATTACAAGACTCTGCACAAGTGACCATCTCTTCCTTGACTGTGGCTTCAACGCGATGGCCATGCTGCTGATGCTGCTGCTTAAATGCTGGCCCAGGTCTCCTAAACAACTTCGACCCCACTTTCATAGGATCAACAAACCTCTGCTGCCTTCTAGAGGTGACCTGCTGAAGTGCAAACATCACTTCTGCCACTGAAAAGTACTGCTGCATATGAAGCACCGGCGTCCAATTGCACCGCCGTTGCTGTATACACCCAATAACAACATCATATTCCCCAGGCTCTCCCACAGCACGCAAATGATGGCAAAGGGCATCAATGATCGCATTCGAAGCAGCAAATTCGCCTCGGAACCATGAGATAAGCCCATCACGCTCATCAGGATACCAGGGACGGGGGCGGTGCTGATGGATCTCACCACCGCCATTGCCTCCACCGCCGCTCACCGCAACTCCGCCACCGCTCTGAAACGGAACTTTATCGGAAACACCCACATTTCCCGATGGCATTGCCATGAGAATCCCTAACGAGAAAAAAAACACTAAACCCGCATATAGAGTAGAATATCCTCAAATTTGAGATCCAATATGAAACAGTACAAAATGAATGCCTTAAAAAAAAGAAAGACACAAAAACACAGTCCAAATGTTGAATTAGAGGTCAGAAACTCAAATGTGACAAGAATTGCTTAAAATCACCACTACCCATTAATCATAAACAAAAGTGAGTAATGTAGAAACTAAAAGAACACACATTCAAGTGAGTTATAACCTATTGGTTTTCCTACATATTCAAGCGATCCAAGGAAATTACCTGAACCATAAATTAAGAAGCTTGATTCTGGGAATTGAATAACGAGGCACAGAAGAATTTAGCCGCCATGGATCGTAATTGTATGAGATCTGCAAAATGGGGTTTGAGAGAAAGGTTGTTTAGAATCTGTGCTTGTGAATAATGAAAAAAGAGAGAATTAAGATTAGGGTTTGGAAAGTGAAGAGTGGGGATGGATTTATTGAATACATGAGTCTTAAATGGTCTCTCTCACTGCTAAAGAAAAAAAAAACTGGTAATCGAAGAGAGGGACCAGTTAAGACTACTCTCAAATTCTTCAACTCAAAAGGGTATTTTGGTAACTTTAGCTTTAAGAGTTCCCGGACTTTATTGCCTTCGATGAAGTTCAAAGATTGAAGCTTTTTTAAGTAAATCTTCATTTATTGTGAATAAGATTTCCTTATTTTATTTTAAATTCGGATTTACCCTAAAACTCTTAATAATAAATGATTTGTAAATTCATTCCCTACCTTTTGGATTTACATTATTAAAAAATAATATATATTTCATTAGGATATTAGCTTCATTTTGAAAACAAATATTCATCATTTATTTGTTAAAATTGACTATAGTTAAAAATAAGAAGGATTTAATATTTAATATAAAAAAATAAATATGTAATATTTTTTAAAATATTAAATATTAAACAATTATAGACGATATATTTCATTTACATTATTTCCATGTACACCATACTTTTTAGCCATGCATCACTTTCATACGCACTAATGCTAAAAAGTTTTATATACTTTTGAAGCATCAAACATTAATCACTTTCGTGTACTTAACTTTCATATGTGTGTGTATAAATATATAAAAGATCTCATATACAAAATATCAATTTAATCATAAAATATCATTATTCAATCTTAAAATATTGGGAAGGAAATAGAAAAATTTGTAATTTAAATTATTGAAGTTGCAAAAATGGAGTGAAGGAGTAGTTGGTGGTACACCATTCATTTAGCATTGACGAAGGGTTGGTGAATAAAATAAAATAAAATAAAATCATTTTTTATTGCTTTTATTGACCACGTGATGTTTGAGTTTTCATTAATTTATAAATGGCCCCGACCCTACTTTAAATTTTGCACTTTTTACTCTTTAATTCATTGTTTTTATTATTTTAGTTTTTTTTCCTTTTGGTCGAGAAATTTGGCGATGGAAGAGGGGAGTGGGTGTTACGATCTCGTGGATCAACCAAAAGCATTTTCCATTTATCAATCTCTCTTCATTTACTTATTTCCCCATTTTTAAAGATGAGTACAAGTTAATTGATATTAATTTTTAGTTAACTTTTGGCGCGGGTTGTGAATTTGTTAGAGCGTTCTCAAAAGTAACATCCAAATCTGGAAAATATTGGACCAAATTGGTAATAGAAACAAAAGTGAATAAATGAAAAGACGTGTGAGATTGTGGAGCCCCCGTTTTCCAGCTCCCACTCCCACCCCCCACACACTAATTTAATTCATGTTTTACCCTTCGGAGCCTCTTCTTTTCCTTTCCCATTCAATTCATTCACCTATTTCCCCACCCTCTCTTTCATGCATTATTAGTGTCACGCAGGCAGTACACATCCATGCCAATGGCCCCGCTTCTTCAATCTCCAATTATAACTCCTCTAATTCCTCTTCCTTTCCTTCTCCCAATTCATTCCTCAACCACACCACCTGTCTCTGTTCCATCTACCAGCTTCACCCACTGGAAATGCCAATGCGAGCTTGTTAATCCACGGAAGACCTCCTCGGTATCGCCCTTCGGAACTCCCCGGTTTCTGTCCTAGTTGGAGAATCGGTGTGGCTTTTTTGTTTTGTGGTTCCAGAAATTTTGGATTCGTTTAGGCTTTTGTTTCAGTGTTTTTTGAAGTTTGGTTTTGGGGGGTTCAATAGTGTCCGCACGTTTTGAATAAAGAATTAGACGCCAACCATGGGGAGGAGAGGAGAGTCGTTTAATTTCTCGTTGGCGAGTTCAGAGAGGGGTTCACGTGAAGGCTTTGACACGATGTCCCTGAGTTTTTACCGGTGAACGAGCGTCTCCAGTCGGTGGTTTCCCGAGGGCCTCGCCATTGGAGAGCATCTTGTTCTCAACTTCATGTCTACAGAAGGTGAAACTGTTTGCAATTCCAATCCGAGTGAGGTCCAAGTGGTAGATGACTCTGTTTTTTTTCCTTGTTTTGGTCAAAGATACTTAAGACTACGAAAAGGACTCGAACTGGCGCGATTTTGGTTTTTCTTGGACTCTGTGAGTATGATGGGAGTTTGAAGGTACAGTGAAGATAAAGGTTTCTGAGAGTAAAGGCGCCAACAGCGAGCAGATGAAGCAGAGGGGAATATTGCTTGCTTTGAAGATGTTTAATCCATTTTTGCATCGGTTGTTAGCTTGATTGCTGTTCTTGGTGATACGGGAGGATCTACTTCGTAGTTGAGATCGTGATTTCAAGGTGTTTTCTGCGATGAAACTTATGGTTTTGAGGTACTCTCCGTTTTTCTTGGTCTTGTTGGTTTGTGTACTGCCTCTGGTTCAAGCTGGAGATGTAGAAGCTCTGTTGGCATTGAAAGCATCTCTCGACCCTGGGAACTCGCTGCCATGGCGAGGAAGTTCCATCTGCAACTGGCAAGGCGTAAAAGAGTGCACAAATGGACGGGTAACTAAGCTCGTTTTGGAACATCTAAACCTCTCTGGTGTTCTTAACGACAAAATTTTGAATCGTTTAGATCAGCTTCGTGTTCTTAGTTTCAAAGGAAATTCACTTTCCGGTCAAATCCCTGACCTTTCGGGTCTCGTTAATCTCAAATCCCTCTATCTGAGTGACAACAACTTTTCCGGCGAGTTTCCGAGCTCCATCTCCTACCTTCACCGCTTGAAGGTCATCGTCGTTTCCGGTAACCAAATATCTGGCCCCATTCCAGACTCGCTGCTGAAACTCCGGCGTCTCTATGTTCTACACCTTCAGGACAACCAATTCAGTGGCTCCATCCCTCCTTTCAAGCAAACCAGTCTTCGATTCTTCAATGTCTCTAACAACCGACTCTCCGGCGACATCCCAGTAACCCCCACCTTGGTCCGCTTCAATGTGTCGTCATTTTCCGGCAACCTGGAACTTTGCGGAGAACAAATTCAGAAGCCCTGTGGAAATGTTGCCATTGCGCCATCATCGAGTCCCTCTTATCCGCAAATCACTGGCTCAAGCTCGTCTTCAAGACGCACCAAATTGGTCAAGATAATAGTAGGAAGCGTTGGTGGGTTTGTCGGACTTCTATTGATCATTCTTCTACTGTGTATGATTTGCAAATGCAGGGAAAGAAAGAGCCTATCCGAGGTCAGAAACAAAGGAATCGACGACGAGGGGATGAGGATGGAGGAAGCATCTGGAACCTCCGCCGGCGGCAGAGGAGGTAATAATGGAGGAAAGCAAGGGGGATTTTCATGGGAAAGTGAAGGACTAGGAAGCCTAGTGTTCTGCGGAGCAGGGGATCAGAAAATGACTTATAGCTTGGAAGATCTGTTGAAAGCTTCGGCGGAGACTTTGGGCAGAGGGACCATGGGAAGCACATACAAGGCTGTGATGGAATCTGGGTATATTGTTACAGTGAAACGGCTGAAGGATGCAAGGTACCCTCGAGCAGAGGAGTTCGGACGGCAGATGGAGGTTCTTGGGCGGCTCAGACACCCCAACTTGGTCCCTCTCAGGGCCTATTTCCAGGCTAAGGAAGAACGCTTGCTCGTATATGATTATTTCCCTAATGGCAGTCTCTTCTCTCTCATCCACGGTAAGTGTCGGCCACCCTCTACTACACTTTTTAATCATTTCTTTGTTGAAATTTTACTGAATAATTTCTGCCACGAATTGGGTTCTTACCGATTGTAAAGTGAAAATGGGCATTGCAAAGGAACAAAAAGACAATGGTCTTCCGTAGGATATAACAATTAGGACAAAATTCATGCTGAAGTGTAGATATATAAACATTAAATTCGCGTAAAATTAGGGCAAGTCAAGAGGGCAGGATACTCTGGGAACTCATAGAAAAGCGTTGGGGACGCTCTAGTAAAGCTAACCTCGTGTTTTGCGGTAGACTTGGGGCAAAAGTTGAGCTTAAGACACACGGATCACGTGGCTTTCCCACACTTCCCGTTGCCTCTCAACTTTTGCCAGTTTTGACCTGTCCTCCAGTGGTTTTACCTTGTTGGGCCCTGATTTAGTTGACGTGCTTTGTTCGTCATCCACCCCTTTCATGTTCTTTTCCTTGGAACACATTGCTGGATGGATGGATGTTAAAGGATAATGAAAAGAAAGGATTAAATATGGGTGAAAGGTCTTAATCGTTGTGCCCCTGGGAATGATCGTGGAGATGATTATCCATTCATTATTGTATCATTGTCGAGTGGTGGGCCGCGCATCATAACTATACCGTGGTACTCTACTGCATTCTACTACACATTACGTTTTCCCATTACATAGATCTGCCATATTTTGGAAGGATTGCCATCCAGCTTAATAACGACAATGTTCATTATTTTCCTGTCCCCATTTTTCAAATAACTGAATATGATTAAATAGTGTTGTTGATTTGGGAAAGAGAAGAATATTAACCTTCTTCTGCCTGACAACTCATCTTTCAAAACCTCAGCTTCTTATGCTGGCGTTTCCTGTGGCTCTCCCCACTAATCTCCTGTCCACTTAGAGTTATGTGCTTAAAATATGCAATTGTTTTCATGCTACTCATAGTTCGTAGCACTTTACTTTATTCCCTTGATTTTCTCTCTCTTGTCTTTTTTCACTGGGATTTTCATCCCAACTCTGAGCTTGCCGAGTTGCTGACCGGTAAATTTGTCTGAACTTCTAGGCTAGTTGATCTTAAGGTTATCCAACTCATTTTATCATTATTTTATTCTTCGCATCTTCTTTCATTGTGTAATGTACACTATTAATATGCCCAAATAATTTAGGAGATATAATGCTTATTTTATGTCTACCCTTCTGGGACGCCAGTCATTAGAGAATACTAAACTGAGAATAAATCATCATGGATACTAACTGTTTGACAGAGATTGATAAGAAAGCCACACTCCCTCCTTCTTTTCTATGTAATCTAGTTTGAGGTTGGTAGTTTTAGACAGTTCAGGCTGTTAGTTATTTTGTTTACTATTCTCATGATTAGAATTATTTTGGGTTTTACTTTAGTAATCTTTCACTTATCAATGAAAATTTTTGTTTCTTCTAAAACAATTCGTGATACTTTTATGATTGTTTTCTGGAATTTCTAAATCCATCAAGGCATCAACATAATGCTTATCCGGGCATTCTTAGTAAATTCCTCTTGCTTTCACCAATAATTTGTTTGACTACCATTAACAGGATCGAGAACTTCAGGCGGAGGAAAGCCTCTTCATTGGACATCCTGCCTTAAAATAGCTGAAGACTTGGCCAATGGTTTGTTGTATATCCACCAGAACCCTGGTTTAACCCATGGAAACCTGAAATCCTCAAATGTACTACTAGGATCTGATTTCGAGTCATGTCTTACTGATTACGGACTTAACTTATTCCGAGATCCCGATTCACTTGAAGAATCTAGTGCAACTTCACTCTTTTACCGAGCTCCTGAATGCCGTGACATCCGTAAGCCAACCACACAACAAGCTGACATCTATAGCTTTGGTGTTCTTCTGTTGGAGCTTCTAACAGGAAAAACGCCATTTCAAGATCTAGTCCAAGAACATGGTTCTGACATTCCCAAGTGGGTTAATTCCGTTAGAGAAGAGGAGACAGAGTCTGGGGATGATCCTGCATCTGGGAACGAGGCATCGGAAGAGAAACTTCAAGCTCTTTTGAACATTGCAATGGCTTGTGTTTCGCTAATGCCACAAAACCGACCAATGATGAGAGAAGTTCTAAAGATGATAAGAGATACAAGAGCAGAGGTTCAAATCTCATCCAACAGTAGTGACCATTCACCAGGTAGCTGGTCTGATATTGTCCAGAGTTTGCCCAGGGATGAACATTTAGGTATTTGAATGGCCTCCAATTTTACAAGTTTACATTTTGATTATCATTGTTGTTGTCGTTGCTATTGTTGATTTTCATTTTCAAGGCATATATTATTATTCTTCTTCTTGGATGGTAGAGAGTGTAAAGTTGTTAGATTTTATTGGTAAAGTGTTTCTTCTTTGGGCTAGTTTCGACAAAACAAGAAGCAGAGAAGGAGCGAGCTGATGCACTTGGTTCATCCTCGTCTTGCCGTTCATTTGATAGGAAATAAGTAATTCATCCATCAGACGAACAGGAAGAAAGTGTAGAGCATGTTTAGGTGATTCAATGTCATTAGTCCAATTCCAATGATTTGCTTCATATTCATCAAATATTTATACATTTCACACATAAGTGCAATTGATGATGTTTTGTTTTCCATCAATAATCGTTGTGAATTATTTGCTTCATACTGTTTTTGAGGGAGTTGATTGACTGGAACGTAAGTGGATATTCAACAAAAACTCAGCAACCCTACATGGTAAGAAACCAAAATACTTGTTGTTTCTCTCTTCTTACTTTTTATTTTTACTATTATTATTTTGCTAAGTATTTTTTTTTCCAAGAAACAAGACACTTTTTCCCATAGTAACTATTTCTCAATTTTTTGTTCTTTGCAAGTTTGTACACTCAATTTTTAAATTAAAAAATAAGAGTATATTTTAGTTAAATTGTGAATTTAGTTCTTATGATTTTAAGAGTCAGCGGTTTGTCCTTGCGGTTTGATGCAATATCATCATTACTTTTTACGATTGGATCTTAATTTTTGTGTGAGCAAATCTGAGATATCTTGCCATAGCAATTGGCTACAACGTGGAAATAATAGTTGGGAGTAATATCATATTTTCAAGACTACAAAAGTTGAAGTGCTCTTACACTCTAGCCACGTTGCAAGCTCAAAATGTGGTGGCTTTGGAACATACATCATTTGAGTCTGAGCTAAGGTTGAAGTCATGTCAACAGGATTCTCTCTGCTGCTCAGGTTAGAGAAGGGATTTGTTTTGTATGCACGAGAATGGATCTGCATGGAAGATAAAAAGAAGTTAATTAAGCTTAAACACAACTCATTATTTATAAGCTTAAGAATGATATTCCATTAGGCAACCATCTTATTCACTAGATCACCTCTCCAAATAGTAATATAGTAGGGTTAATATGAAAGGGATATCTTATTCACTAGATCACCTCTCCAAATAGTAATATAGCATGGTTACTCTCCAAATAGTAATATAGCATGGTTAATGTGAAAGGGATAATGAGAGTCCAATTTAGGATCCCTCATATGGACTACAACCATTAGAATGAGATTGTGTACTCAAGGATAGAACATTTCAACTATGGACATTTAAAATCAAATGGCAATTAACACTACAATCAACTTACACTAAATGCAAGAAGTTAAGTAAAATAAGGTAAAAAGGATAGGATAAACAACAACCCAAATAGTGAATTGGCATTCAAGAGAGGTGTAGGAGGAAAAGACTAGTAAGTACCGAATATAAATTTTGTAATATTATATTTGAATCATATTAGACCGCGAAAATGACGTGGCTTGCTGGTCATGGGAGCATTTGAGGCATATGGGAAAAGGACAAAATTATAAACTATTAACTTCTCTGAAATTGCTAAGCTTAGGATTGCTTATGGTCTTTATAAAACAATTCTAACTATTCTTGGTATTTGATAAAAGCGACTATAAAAAAGAGGCATGATCTTAAAAGTTAGAGACATGCCTGTAAATTATCGACCCCGTCTTTCATCCATCTGCCAAACAGAGCGGAGAGGTAAAAAACATAAAAACTGACAAAACCAATGAAGAATCCAGAAATGGCAGGTTTGGTTAGGTTGGGTGCAGAAGAAAAGGACAACGTGGTTTTAGAGGAACTAGTCACCAATTATGCACAAAGGAAAGAACCAGCAGAGCATAAACAATTACTTAAAAGAAACTAAATAAACAATCAGAGAAAAATAGAACATTCTATTTCATATGGGCCTACTGCCAATTGGGGACAAACTTGGTAGACGACAACCAAAGGGCCCCCATGTAAACTTTTCTTGTCCCCGAAAAGTCAAAAAGTTGAAGGCAGTTTTGGATGTTTCCCTTGCATCGTTTTCCACTTTATAGAGGCTTGGTCACCCATCGCTATAATATTAAAAGAAATTGAGAACGACCTTGCCTTCATAAATATGGAAGAACATGGAAGGAGAGAGAAACAATATTTTCGCGACAATTGTCACTACATGGTAGCCCCTTAACAATGTCCTCTTCTCTTCTCTTTGTTTTCTTCCACTTGTGCTCTTCCTCCTCCCCACAATTTAACAACTTTTTCTTTCTTTCCAAAAACAGAGAATTATAAAACAGCACTTCTCAGTTTAATAACTTTTATAGGAAAGCCATATGTTTAAGGAAGATACCACAATGATGAACTCCAATCCACCACTCTTCCAACAATATGAGTTGCTTTTGCAATCCACAGCTCATTTACAGCCACTTCACAATGGCTATCAACCAACTAGCTCTGTCCTGGAGGAATGTCAGCTCCCTCTTGTCGATCTTAAAGGTTTGGAAAGTGGCAAAGAAAAAGAGAGGATGGCTTGCAGTAGAGAGATTTTTGAAGCATCTGCAGAATGGGGATTTTTCCAAGTGATTAACCATGGGATACGCTCAGAGCTGCTGAGCAGAATGAGCAAAGAACAAATGAAGTTGTTTGCGGTGCCCTTTGAGAAAAAATCTACAAGTGGGATTTTGGATAATTCTTACCGATGGGGAGCAGCCACTGCAACCCAACCAAACCAGTTCTCTTGGTCTGAAGCTTTTCACATTCCCCTCACAAAGGTCTCTGAAGCTGACTGCTATGGCGACTTCATTCACTTAAGGTATAGATTTTATTACCCTTCTTCCAACTAGAAACTTCTCTTGAGCATTGTGTCAAATTTATTTAGTTCATATGCTTAAAACACAGTCTATTTAGCCTTTGAACTTACACACAAAAAAAAAAAAAAAAAAAACCCCCATTTCATTCTAGGTTATGTTTTTCTTTGTTAACATCAGAATGCTTAATATGACAGGCTGTTCGCCTGTCCAGTTGTTTGCTATAATATCGCACCAACTCAGCTAAGAGTCATATAAAAACATGTCACGATAGCATTCCTTGATAGTTTCAATGACAATCACTAAATAAAAGCATAATTCAAAATTTAACAATATAATAAAACAAATCCAAAACCCAACGTCTGAGGACTATACTTGTATCTTTAACATTGAAATATTCATGCACTTGAAGATTTTAGGTCTTCTAGACATTTTCACAAACACTTGAAGATTTTAGGTCTTCTAGACATTTTCACAAACAGTTCGACAGCAAAAGTAATGCACTTCGATATCACAATCAACCAATGTAGTAGATTACAAAAACAAAGAGAGTGCATTGCTCACTGACCTTACATCCTCGAACGCCAGGGAAGTGATGGAGGAACTCGCAACCGCCATGTCGAAGCTCGCAAGATCTCTAGCAGGAGTTTTAGTGGAGAGTTTGGGGCACCGGAAGGAAGTATTTGAAGATATGTGCGATGAAAGCACATGCTTCCTCCGGTTGAATCACTACCCAATCTGTCCGTTTCCCGGCGAAGTTACCGGCCTGGTGCCCCACACCGATAGCGATTATCTGACCATACTTCATCAAGATTCCGGCGGCGGGCTTCAGCTGATGAAAGGATCGCAATGGGTGGCCGTGAAACCCATTCCGGAAGCCCTTGTCGTTAACATTGGAGATCTTCTACAGGTACAAACTGAAAGTCTTCCGAAGTATAATGGTTTGGTAGAGCAAGTAGAAAGTGGGTATAAAAATATAGTTTGAAATGCAGGCTTGGAGCAACGATACGTACAAGAGTGTGAAGCATAGGGTGGTGACTAACTCGGTGCGGGAGAGATATTCGACAGCATACTTCCTCTGCCCATCTAACCAGTCTGGAATCGGGAGTTGCCGGCAGCCTTCACCATACAGACACTTCACTTTTGGAGAGTACAGGAAGCAAGTGAGAGATGATGTGGAAAAAACTGGGTACAAAGTAGGGCTTTCCAGATTTCGGCTGTAAATCACTCCAATAACAAATGGAAGTATCAATTTCAAGTATGCATAAACATCCAAACGATTAAGAACAATCACGTGCATACGTATCTATCAAACCTTTAAAAATAAGGGTTTAACCAGTACACACATATACATATCTAATCAGTGAGCTGGTGCCACTTCCAATCTAATAAGAATCTAATCAGTGAGCTGATGCCACTTCCAATCTAATAAGAAGGTGAAGGGTTAAGATTCTCAAGAGCAATGGGAGAGATAGGCGAGCAAGCTACAGAGCCTAGAAACAAAATAATGACTTCAGAAAAGTACAATCAAGACTTCCAAAAGATTGTTAAGAAGCTGATTTGATGTTTTGCTCTTTAAACTTTTTTATGAATGTAATGAAGTTTTATTTTGTCTCTCATCATTATTTGCTTATATATCTATGCGAATATCCTGGATACTTTTATGTTTTCCGGATTTATATAAAATAGAAAAATATGGGTGAAGTTATAACCAAAATAGAATATATGTTTTGATTAACACCTCTTAAATTCCTTTTAAAATTATATGAATTGAACTTTTAAACCTTTTATTTAATTGTAGGACAAATTTATAATTTAACATCTTATTTTCTATTTATTTTCCCTATATTTTTCCTTTTATTTATCATTTTTAGTTGCTTTTCACCCGCGTTCCGCCACCTCCTCCCTCCCATTTCCAGTCGCTGCTTCCCGTCCCTCCGCACGCCGTTCCTGCCCGACGCCATTTCTGCAGCTTCCGCTGCAAGCTACAGTGTCAACCTTCTGTGAAATCGCCGCTGCCCCTGTCTCTCCGAGCAAACAGAGTAAGTTCTCTGTTTTTTTTCTTCTAACCGCATCGCCGCCACTCATTTTTCAAAACCCAAGGTCTTATCTTCTGTTTTGTTTTTTAATTTGTTTCTTAGGGTTACGTTGATTTATTCTTTCACCGACGAAGAAGAACATCAATAACTTTTTTTTTTCTTCGTTGATTTTATCTTCAACCAATGTTGAATTAGTCCAAATGAAAACGTAAAACTAAGAACGTAAACCGATTGAATCAATAAAACAAAAAACCGATTGATCAACAAAACAAACTATAATTCTTATCCGAGTTAATTTATAAAGAGGAAAAAATAACTCACCTTTAGTTTGGTTGGCTATCAAAAACTCGTTGGAATCGAGATGCGGCATTTGATGTTGAGGATTATTGGGATTGGGAGTGTCCCACATTGGTTAATTTAGTGGAAGATCATGGGTTTATAAGTGAGGAATACTATCTTCATTGGTATGAGGCCTTTTGGGGAAGCCCAAAGCAAAGCCATGAGAGCTTATGCTCAAAGTGGATAATATCATACCATTGTGGAGAGTCGTGATTCCTAACATGGTATCAGAGCCATGCCCTAAACCTAACCATGCCAATAGAATCCTCAAATATCGAACAAAGAATGGCGAGCCTCGAAGGTGTAGTCAAAAGTGACTAAAGTGTCGAACAAATGGTGTACTTTGTTCGAGGGCTCCAGAGAAGGAGTCGAGCCTCAATTAAGGGGAGGCTATTCGAGAGCTCCATAAGCCTCAGGGGAGGCTTATAGTGTGCTTTGTTCGAGGGGAGGATTGTTGAGGATTATTGGGATTGGGAGTGTCCCACATTGGTTAATTTAGTGGAAGATCATGGGTTTATAAGTGAGGAATACTATCTTCATTGGTATGAGGCCTTTTGGGGAAGCCCAAAGCAAAGCCATGAGAGCTTATGCTCAAAGTGGATAATATCATACCATTGTGGAGAGTCGTGATTCCTAACATGGTATCAGAGCCATGCCCTAAACCTAACCATGCCAATAGAATCCTCAAATATCGAACAAAGAATGGCGAGCCTCGAAGGTGTAGTCAAAAGTGACTAAAGTGTCGAACAAAGGGTGTGCTTTGTTCGAGGGGAGGATTGTTGAGGATTATTGGGATTGGGAGTGTCCCACATTGGTTAATTTAGTGGAAGATCATGGGTTTATAAGTGAGGAATACTATCTTCATTGGTATGAGGCCTTTTGGGGAAGCCCAAAGCAAAGCCATGAGAGCTTATGCTCAAAGTGGACAATATCATACCATTGTGGAGAGTCGTGATTCCTAACATTTGAAAAGATTGAAATTAATGTTTTCGGTCGAAAAACTAATTGAGTTTGAGTTTGATTGAATGGCGTTGAATCTTCTTGAATATAGGAGAAACTATGGATGCCCATGAACTGGCATAGGGAGTTCCAAATCACAGCTGACTACAATTTTTTTTCTTGCATCCAAACACGTTCAAGGATTTCGAATTAGAACTGATTTGAAATCCTTCCAAATATAGAGGTTCAAACAGCGGTAAAGGAGAATAGATAAAGGTTAATGAAACCCTAGCCCCTTCTCTTTCCCTCTCCCTTGAGTTTTGATTTTGTTTAATAATGGGAAAGTCTGTTTCTGCTGGAACTTCTTGAAAATTTTATGCTGTTACGTTTTATATATATATATATATGCATCAAACAGTCTATATTCATGGCGCAAGATAATATCAGGGAGAAACAGATGGTGAGAGTTGCTTCTGATGGAGGAACTGGACGTCGTTTACCGCAGTGGATGCTGGGAGTTCGTGCTGATGACCAAATACAGAGATCTAATGATGTAGATAACAACAAGAAGAGTCTTGAGGAAGAACTTGAATCTCAAGCTTCCCTAGCCAAGGAAGCAAATTCATTTAAGCGTCCTCAAAAATCTGTGTTACACCAACAGAAAGAGACTTTGGTGGAAGATTTATGCACCCCAGAATGTGTTTCTAAGAAAAGAAAGGGAAGAAAACGAAAATCAAGTCGAATTGATGAGGCTGAGGATGCTGATGACCCTGAGGCAGTCCCAGCTATGAAATCAAATAGACTTAGAAGGAAGCTTGTGGACTCTGCTTTGGGAAAAAGAAAAACACCAAAAAACCTGGGCACCAGAAGTGATGATGATATGGAACTGACAGTGGAAGATCTAATAGTCATTGCCAAAGAGGTTAGCCACTTTACCCTCTCTTGCATATAAAAGAAGACAACTTTATTTTCTTTCAATTCCAAGTAGTAATCAAGTCATGGCTATGCCTAACGTTATTGTATGATTGTATGATAAGAGGATGACAGATACTTGAGATATAATGATTTCGTCTTTTGTTTTTTGTTTATGAATTTTATGTTGGTTTCTCCACAATTTCTTTACTATGATTTTCATGTTTCTTGAAAAAACATCTGAAGTCTCCGTTAAATTCAAAAAGCAAAAACAAGTTTGTAAAAACTACTCATTGGTAATTTTTTAAAACATTTGCTAAAAGTTTTTTTTTTTCTTTTTTTTCTTAAATTTACAACCTCATTGGTTGAAGGTAATTGACAAAACAAAGAAGCTTAGAGGTGGAAGTAGTTTTTAAGTTTTTATAAGCTTAGATCTCATTTGATAATCATTTGGTTTTCTTGAAATTGAATTCTTAGTCAAATTCCAAAAACAAAAAATAAAGCATGTTTTTGAAATTATCTTTCTTATTTTTCAAAAAAACAAAAACAAAATTTTGAAAACATGTTTGGTGTACAACTATTTATGCTTTTAATATACTGTCCACTAGTTTTCAGGGATATAATTATTTTCATTTGCATGCAGTTTGTTGAAACTGACAACTTGTTTTCAGAGATATAATTATTTTCATTTGCATGCAGTATGTTGAAGCTGATAAGGATAGGGCCCATAAACACGAATTACATGGAGAACGTGAATCTAGTAGCATAAATCCAAGAACATGCCACGCCAGGAATCAATCTGAAGGATCTTTCAATACTAATAATGATAAGAAGCAGAGTTCTGTGGATCTTAGTACTTCAATTCCTCATGATTCAACTGCAATTTCAGGTGGTGAAAAGATTGATATAGGTGTGAGGACAACGGGAGATCCTGCTAAGGACATGCTGAATTTATTTTTGGGTCCTTTGCTTAAGAAGTCTGTAGAGAATGAGCAACCCAAATTTGTTACAACTGATGTACAATTTTCTTGTGATTTAAAGAGTCAAAATCAAAGGCATAATGAAAATGTTGGAGATGTGATCTCAGTAATGAAGAAGAAGAGCAGCCTGAAAGATAAGGTAGCAATGTTTCTTGGATAAAGCAGATAAATCTGACACCGTGATGTTTCAGGATAAAGTAGATATGTCAAGATGTTTCTTGATACGGAATAATTGAACCTCAGGGTGGCTGATCCTTGCAGTCGTCTTGTTTTCAGTGATATCATCAAGATGTTTCAGAATATGAGGTATGCATCTTTCACTTGTTTGCCACTAGTTACATTTTGTTTCATATATTTTGGGTCATCCTCTCAAGAGGAAAGGAAAGAAGGTTTGGATTTGGTATGAATTTAGTTCTTTTATGTATTTGAGTTAGCTAAATTTTGATGTTTGTTGTTGGGTCTTTGTAGGAACTTAATTGGGGTGGATTTGTTTGAAGACATTTTCGTTTGCTTCCCCCATTTTCCCTCATGGATTTAACTGAGGTCGTGGACGCTGTTCATGAGGTTGTAATACTACTTTTCAATGTTTATTTATTTATTTATTTAAACGAGCAAACTGACACCTCCAAATAATACAATTTTCAGGGCACACAGCATTGAGGCTGAAGAATAAAGTGTAAGAAGACCTTTGGATGGAATCCACATTGTTGAGTTTTAATTGAATTTATTGGATGTATGGTTAAATGTCATCCTGCGTAGTTCAAGCTAACGAATTAAGTAATTAGTTATGGGTTATTCACTGTGGAGGATAATACTCTATTGCTTACAAAATCAAGTTACAATAGGTTTTTTAAATGACTAGTTCGTTAATGGTTGTTGTACGTTAAATATTGGTTTTCTAAATTAACAAATGGTCTGATTGGGTTGGATCGATTAGAAATTTAACTCTACATTTGGGCCTTTGAAAAGGCAAAATATTGGTTGTTTTTGTTGTTTTTTTTTTTTTTACAATTTTTGGTATATTTGGAACAACTTTTGGTTTTTTCAAAGTTTGGGTTATTTCAAATTTTGGTAAATTTTTAATTGGGATCTTTCAACCTCTTATAGTTTGAAGAACTTCTATAGTATATTTTGGTCTAGAACAAACAGATTGTGAAAGACATGCAGAACAAACCATTTCTTCATTGCTATTCATTACTATTACCTGATTATCGTCTTTAGCAAATATCTTGCCACAGGGTTGGACGTAAAACCCTTTCAAATATGGCATAAAACGTTTTTTTAGCAAATGGAAGATGATCAGAGTATTTCATCCTAGAATCACCACCACTCAGTGTAAGTAATACCAACCTGCAAGCATATTGAAACTGAAACTGAAGCATTGTCACGACCGAGAAGAAAAAAACTTCCTTTTCACTCGTAAGAGATTGATCGATAATGGACTACAAACAACTCACATCGATGAAATTATAAAGAAAAAAAAAAAAAAAGGCGGACCAACTTGAGCAACTCGTGAGCTTGGATGAAGGTGATAAACTACAACTCATTTTAGATGCATGTCAACCATTTTACGTCACGATATGCCAACAACAAATAAAAAGAATTTTAATTAAAATGATTTACAACTTTAGAAACATCAACCACATCAATTTGGGCTTTATATATATAACAGCCCACCACCTATACTATCAAAGTCGTTCAACATATTTATAGTTAATTTATCCAACTATCTTAGCCTTTTATTATTGCTAGTGTCACACTAATTTTTATTTATAATTAAAATTCTCAAATAATTAAGATATAATTATTATTTATAATTAAAAGTCCGGATGGGTGATAATTTTAAAATTAAGAAAAAGGGATGCCGTCAGTGGGGTGAGGTAGAGGGGCATTTTGGTGAATGTGAAAATAATTGACAAATAATGGGAAAAGGAGGACATCTGGAAGGGTGAGCTGGGGCTTTGTTTTGTTGGCCATAATGACCAAGGAGCCCTCCACGTGCACAATAATGGAAGCCTCGTTTCTTCCCTATCGCCATGGCTGAATCTCATCATACTCTCAGCTGCTAAACAAGACGCAAAAACATACCGGCAGATTTTGCGCTCTCACATACGCAACCCACCGTCGGAATGGGGACGTTTATCAAACTCGAGGACTCTCCTATGTTCTTGAAACAGGTTCCTTCCTTTTATCGATCCAACTGCTCGATTCTTGTTTGTATGTTCCTGTCAAATTCCGTAGGTTGCTGGATTTGTGGTTAGCGACGAATTGGTTTCGCTTGCGAGCTTGTTTGCTGTGCTATGTGCAGCTGTAGTAATTTCTTTCTACTCTGGAAAGATTTGATTCTGTTGTTTGTACATGACCTTGCTTTTGTATTCGTCTGGCGTCCGTGTACCTTCGCGGACTTGGCATTTTCTTTTTCTTGTTTTTATCGAATAAGGATTATCGATACACTGTTTTCTCCTTTTAGTTGCCAATGGGCTGTAATGTTAAAAATCTGGTCAGCTACTAGTTCTGCTAAACTCGGAACCCGAAGGCCGAATATGATTGCTTTTAAGTGGAACTATGGAGTTTGAGGAGTCAAAAAAAAAAAAGAAAAAAAGAAAAAAAAAAGAAAATCGTGAATGCTTCTCCTTTTGCTTATATGCAGTCCTTCATATTTTTGTTATTGGTGCTTATAAACTTGTCTATCTTCTTCCATGGCTCATTTTGAGTGGAAGCCGTATTTTGAAAGTTGACACAGTTGACAGCTGTTAATGTTAAATCTTGTAGAACTTATATTGCTTTGTGAATGACTTCTACTCTCCAGCTCTGGATGGGAACATTTAATTTTCATGAATCGAAATTAGAATAAGGATGTTCCAGTTTCTCTTGACTATGCACGTTCTCAATCTCTTGCCCCTGCACTAGTATTAGCGTTTCCTCAAAATTCTTACAGTAAATTGTCTTTGTTCCCCTTTGGAAGCTCTTCTTGTAAAACTTAGATTTTACCTCATTTGGCAATCAGATAGCTTTCCTTACCTTTTGTTTTATCTTCCAATTATTTTTAGATATTTTCTTTAGAACGAACAACTGATGAGTTGGAAGAACGATGCAGAAGACTACAAAATGGATGTACGATGTTTATGTAAGTGCTGCATTTTTATTTTTTCCATCATCCATGTTAAGGCTATTCCAAATGGAGACGGGAGGAATGAGCATCTTCATTATTTTTTATTAGTTGGGTAGTTGTGATTAAAAAATGTGTGAATTTCTTCATTATCATGCCAATCTTTGATTTATTCATTATTGTATTAACATTTTCATACAACTTGAATTTCTTAACTTCTGTGTAGACATTTTATTTCTTCTCTGTCATATGTGAATTCGGACATTTTCTTATTGAAAGAGATCAAATTGAATAGTTTATAGAGAAATGGTGAAATTTGTATAGAGTTCAAAATGAAACAGAGTACATTGAAGTAGAAGGTTTAGAGGGGTCCAATAAATGAAACTGGTAATGAGGAAGGAATTGAGGGGTCCAATATTTATGGCACTCCCAATAATAGAGATTTAAAAAAAAAAAAAAAAATTATAAGAAACAATACTTTTTGTATCAAAAAGAGGCTACAAAAAGTGGAGATGAGGGTTTCCCATCAAGCCAAGAGGACTACAAAAGAGCCACCCGATTACAGAGATAGAAAGGATTTTGGTGATTAGGTGGTGATTTCAATGTACAAAAGTGGTCTTTTGGAGGGAAGAACAAAGAGCCTGCGAAAGTTGTGCAATATGATAGACATGCTGAGCTTGATGGAAGTCTTGTTTTTCTTTTCTTTCTTTCTTTCTTTCTTTCTTTTAATTTTTTTTTTAATTTTTTTATTTTTTATTGCAGACCATGCTTTAATTTAGAAGGAATGAAAGAATACAAAGGGCATGCAAAAGGTCTTACTAAAGAGCCAAACTAAAACAAAAAAGGGATCCAATATAACAAAATAAAACCTAAAGAATAATTGAAAAAGTTATTCCAAAGTAAAATATTAAGCCTTACTAGAGACCAGGCGTCCTCCCCCAGTCTCTCAAACTCCCTAAAAGTTCTATTGTTTCTCTCAAGCCAAAGGTGCCACATAATCACACAAGCTCCAGCACGCCACAAAAAGGACCCTTATTTTGAAAGGCCGAGGGAAGAAGGAACTCCTATACTGTGGAGCTATACTCTTCAGATTGAATCCTATAAACACCAAATATCTAGAAAAAACAATTCTAATCCGAAGAGGCAAACTGGTAGTTTCCAAAAGTGTGATGAAGATCCTTTGCCGACCTCCTATAAAGGATACAATACTGTGGTCTTGTAGAAAACTTCCTTGTGATACTATACAAATAATTAACTATGTCGTAAAGGACTTACCACACGAAAAGCTTAACCTTAGAAAATCTTGTTGAATTATGGCACAGGAAAAATGTCTCCCTTGGTTTAATGGATTTGGTTCTTTTATATTGAAAAAGAAGCCCTTTAGAGAGATGATTTACTGCAATAAAATATGGTTCTACTCACTTCAATAGTTGACCGGGTAGGAAGTCGTTATATTCCTCAATGGGCCCTTGGAAGTCTATTGAAAAATTGCTGCAGCTGATTTTCAGTCGTATTGAAGTTAGAGTGCAAAAGAGAGGGATAAGACTATGTTCTGGAAGGATATTTGGTTGGGTAAGCAAAATTTTCAATCAAAGTATCCTGTTCTTTATCATCTCACATTAAAAAAGGAGGCATTCATTGCTGATTTTGGAATTCGGATAGTCAATCTTTGAATCTTTTTATGAGAAGAAACTTAAATGATGTGGAAATTGAGGAATGGATATCCTTATCCCATCTATTGTTGTCCTTCAATTTCAAGAATCAAGAGGACTGCTGGACATGGGGCTTAGAAAAGGATAAATTTTTTACACCAAGCTCATTAACTAAGAAGCTTGCATCTGCTGGAAATTTGGAAAATTCTGTTCGTTACAATCAATTATAGGAGGGATGCTCACTCGAAATATTAAGATTCTATATTTGGTAGCTTATTCATGATTGCACAACCGAAAATCCCATGGGTTGATATTTCTCCAAGCTGCTGCCACATTTGTATGAAGGATCAATAAACTCATATTCATCTTTGCAACTGTCCCTTTGCCTCCCCTTTTTGAGCTTTCTTTCAAGATGCTTTTGGATGGTTTCTTACAAAACCTGGAGAGATCTTCAGCCCCCTTAACATGCCCCTCATTGGCCATCCCTTCAAGGAGAAGACAATCCTTTGGTGCAATTTTATCTTTGCCTTCTGTTGGAACTTATGGTTGGGAAGGAACGCTAGCATCTTCTCAGTTGTTCTGGCTCGTAATGGGGGATGCTCTTTGTTTGAGGAGGTTCTCATGAGTTCTTTTGAAGTTACTCGCCTTGTGTACCTTCAAGGCGCTTAGGAGCTCTAGTTTGTGGATTTTTTTTTTCCTCTGACTTGTGGCTGCTATTTTTTTTTTGTGATATTTTTGTGGTTTCCCCACTTTTTGGTTGTAGCTGGTTCTTTTTGGTGTTTTTTACTTTTTTCCCTCTTTGGGAGGTTCTATTCTTGATCTTTTTCTACCTTCTCATATATCAATGAAATTTTGTCACAATGGTTTGGTTTGACCATTGGGATGCATCCACTCTCTCATGGAATATCCCCTCGAATGTTTACTTTATTCAAGACACGTGCCTACCTTTATCTAGGTTAATTTTTTTAATAATATTGTCACCTTGTCACCATATCATATCATCATTTTTCTCAAAAGTATTTTTTATTTATTTATATTGTTTGTGCAAATGTCGACTTTTGTAGGGAAACTCTTGGAGAAGCTTGTAATGGAGA